CTTGGCAACCGTGACCGCTATTATTGATGGCACCGGTTCTATCGGGGCGGCTTTGGGTCCGCTTTTGACCGGATTTCTTTCTACAAAAGGGTGGGATGCGGTATTCGCGATGTTGATGATTGGTGCCTGTATCGCGGGTCTACTCTTGACTAGTCTTGTTTGTACTGAACTCACAGAGAGGACGGCTTTGACAAGTCCTCGTCCACGAAACAATGTTGAAGGTATGTCGTATGCTTTTTTACCTTTTCAATTATGCCCTTGTTTGGTATGCAAGATACAATTGTGTTTTGAGTGATGTTATAGTAATTTGTCGATAGAATAAGGTGGGACATAGATTATAGATTGATCTTAATTGTACAAAAACTACAATATTTTTCTCCACCCAAAAAGGTGGTATAAGGTAGGATCAAGACTAATGTTTATAGGAAAATAGCCACAATATTTTGTCTACACCCAAAATCATCGAATAAGGTCGACACGCGATGACGACATTATTACAAAAAATGCACTATTTTGTCCACCAAAAAAGGTGGGACACAGACAAATGTTGATATAGCAAAAATGGTTATAGTTTTCTTCAAAAAAGGGTGGAATGCAGTCAGAAAAACTGCAGTACTTTGTATCTCATCCAAAATGGCACAATAGGTAGAACACTAACTAATGTTAATAGGATAACAAGTGCAATATTTGCTCAAGCAAAAAGGCGGCACAAACACATGTTATTACGGGGTAACTACAATATTTTGTCACACCCAAAATGTGGGACCGGGTAGGGCAAAGGCTTATTCTGGATCTATTGCATGTTCAAAAAATATGAATGCCCACCTCTTTTATGAATCATCGAAAATCGTCTTAGAAAGGTTGTAAATCCAATGTAGCAAGTAGAAATTATGTCATTATGGAGTATTTATTAGCCAAGATACATGACTTAATCCGGTAAGGTAAATGCAAGTGTCGTTTGAACATAATACAAAAAGTAGGAAAAAAGGCTTTCCCAAGTCTTAACCTTTTATAAATTTGCATTATTTTTGTTTTCCTTCTATATCCTCAAGTTTGTTGTCACTTTTTCATATTTTTAAACAACATTCATCTATACACCATTTTTCTCTTTTATTTGGTGCAGCTCCTTTGTCTCAATCACTTTTACGCGACGGGAGGAGGTAGTCATTGTTGAGCATTGCTGACAATCGATACACGTTTTAAGTAGACAAGAATGGTTTACAAAGGACAAAAGAACGACAAGGTGCACTTCTGTATTCATAGGCGAGCCGCGACATACAACTATGAACATATAATTTTTACATCGTTCTGTTCAAATGTTAATGTATAACAATCAGAAGAAATATGGTTTTGTGGTGTTTTTTTGCATCATTTTCGTTTCTCTTGTTCTTCTTTTGGCTTTTATATTGTGTGGAATCCCCTGTTCGAAAGCACATTATGCAAATTCTATAATATCATTCTATTAATCTGGTATCGCTGTGCAACACTGGAGAATACATATATAATAATAGAAATGCAAACACAAAGATCGGATCTTAATGACAAAAAGATTCCAAACGGTTGCTAAAAATTTAATGAATGATCGATAAATATTGTTATCATAATTTAAGATCATAATAACTTTTTATGCTATAGTTATAAGAGCACCAAGAGTAGGAGTAGGAGTAGGAGTGGGACATGATGTGAATGGCCTCCGGTACCGATAGGAACACCACCTCACCCACTCGTTACCGACCAAAAGGAAGCGAGTTCAGGGTAGGTTTCATGAGTATCCATCCCTCTTTTGACCCCCACTTTATATATCGTACATACACATGTTATTGCACAAAGTGCAAGCCGTCAAAAGAGAATTCCTTGAATGCAACAGTTTCAATATTTGAATTCTCATACTCAAGGTTGAAATTCATGAGTATCCGTCCATCTTACCCCTACTTTATATATCGTGCATACACATGTTATTGCGCAAAGTGCAAGCCGTCAAAAGAGAATTCCTTGAATGCAGTAGTTTCAATCTCCGAATTCTCATATTCAAGGTTGAACGATGGGTTAGGGATGGAGTTGGAAGACAGAAAAAATAAATGTAACATTGATGTGGAAGATAAAGAATGTTATGAAAATAATTCTTATAAAATTTTTAAATTGTGTTTAGTGGAGGAAATAGTGATTCATCGTCAACTCTATATCAATTTTTACATAAAAAAATATATTCAAAGTATATTCAGTTTTTACGATTTATATAGATTGTCAATAATACCCTTTCAATTAACTAGATTTTAACAAATATGTATTACATCTTTTTTATTTTAATGACTTTATACATAATATTATCAGAGAATTATAAAAAGGTAAATTATTCGTGTAGAATTAAATTTGAACGATAATTTCACCAAATCAACATTTATTAAATAAATAAATAATTACATTTGAAAGATCTTGAAACACCTAAAAAATATCGAGTAAAAATTTCATTTTTAAATAAGTCAAAATCATTCATTCATTAACCCAAATGTCGGTCATAATAAAAGTATTCTCAAAACATCGGAGTAAAATCATAAATAGTCAATGCGAAATAAATCTTCAGGGGACACAGTGTGATCAAGTTAGGCCCTTCATTTGAAAACATAAGTACTTGAAACCGTAAACATAAAACCGTAAGTACAAACTTAGTGAGTCCCCCAAAATACCCCATACCATACATACATAACAGGACAAAACTAAATTGGGTCTATTTCATCCCCTTTGGTCTCTTTCAATCGATATTGGGTCTATTTCACCACATCGGTCACTTTCAACCGGTATTGGTCTATTTCACCCCTTCAGTCTCTTTCAAACGGTATTAGGTCTATTTCATCCCATTCGGTCTCCGTTAACGAGTACTGGGTCTATTTGACCTTTACAACTAAGCATACAATCATATCAACAAGAGTCAAAAAGACAATAAGCACATACAAGCATATCATCAAATATCACAAAGAAAACAATCACATACTGGCATATCAACAAATTTCACAAAGACAACTAGCATCCTACAAACATAATCCAATGGGTCGGCATTAGTGCCTTCGACCAACGAGTACAGTGAAGAGACTCACCTGAACTATTCAACAAAAGCCCAACAACCACCTTAACAACAGAACGTTCAACCCAAGCTTCCTAAAGCCATACTGAAACCAATCTTTAGCCAAAGCTCAATTCTACTCATGTTTGACCAAAAGTCAAACTGGTCAAAAAGTCAACGGTCAAAGTCAAAGTCAAAATTATTAATCAACAGCTCTCCACGTCATGGCCTTTCTTGCCCACGTCGTGGGCACAAAATGCCAAAGCAGTCGCTAGTCCCCCAGTCGCCACGCCATGGCAGCCTAAGACAACGTCTTGGGGACTGGTCTAAACAGCTCAAACGAATTAATCCCTTTTCTTCCGATTCCAACAGCTCCAAATCTCAAATTTGATCCTTTCCAAAGTCTTAATGGATAAAGTTTCTAACTTTATCCATTAGGAAAGTCCAAACCACCAAGATCTAGAATTTAAGTCTTAAAGAGACCCAAAATGCATCTTTCTTAACTTAATCCATTAAGTTCAAGTCTCCAACTTTCAGATCTGAATCATTAAGATGTCTAGATGGATAAAGTTTCCAAATTTATCCATAATAATGCCACAACCTTCCAAGATCTAAACTTTAATACACCAAAATGACCTAAAGGACCAAGATAATATGCATGGCTAAAAGGGAAGGGAAAAGATCTTAACTTTCCTTGTCCATGGGGTCCAAAAAACATTCCAAAGTGATCAAAAGATGTTGGAGTCCACTCAAATCCAAGATCACTCATAAAATGGACCAAAAGTGCCAAAAACCCCAAATGACAATATCTAATGAACTATATAGCAAGATTGAAACTTTATACTCACAATGGTCCAAAAATGTAGTGCATTTGATGGATCCAAACTTGAAGCATCATTCCTTTCAACCAAAATAACCTTCTTGATCTTTAAGCTCCATAAAATACATAAAAAGCATCCAAAAGAGGAGGGAGGAGAGAGTATATGCTCAAATCTTGGAAATGGAGGCAAGGGTTTCTCCCAAGGGGTCCTAGAGGTGGTGGAGGCTGATAAACTGCCCAAAATTGCAGAATATCAAGCTTAAATACATTGAAAACTCTAAAAAGATCATGGGCTTGGGTCTGACTGATCCCCATGTCATGGGCTCTGATCCCCACGTCGTGGCCATGACTTTTCACCCAAATCCACCTCAACTTCAAACAACCATAACTTATTCGTTTCAACTTCGTTTTCAGTGATCTTTATATCCATGGAAAGGTATTAACAAGCTCCACACTTCTATATAGTTAATTTTGGCTTAAGACATGTCGAACTAAAAACCATAATCTAATGAAGAATCCTAACATATAAATTTTCCTATTTTACCCTTTGGCTCCAAAGCACAAACCAATGGCTTAGATCATATAACTGATATCATCAACATCCAATAGGGTCTAAACCCCATTAGCTCGAAGTTCAAGGCCTTACTTGATCCATTTATTACCCATAATTCCAAAATAAGAAACTTCTCGAAACGGGGTGTTACAACTCTCCCCCAATTAAACTGAATTTCATCCTTGAAATCCGTCTTGGTTAGGATCTCTTAAAACCACGCCAACATATTCCATAAGCTTCCTCTGACCACTTCAAAATCAAGGCATCTTATAAAGAAAATTCGAGAGACCACTCGGAAACCACCGCTGCCGACAAACAACCCAATAACTTGAAATATTCAACCGCAACCACTATCCTCCTCTCCCTAAGTGAAAGGCCCAACTCCCAGTGTAAACCACTCAAACTGGGAAGCTTCTTAAAACTGTAACTACAACTAACTCCATCAATAAACCCCCAAAACCAGGATACCATCAGTCCAAACTCTAGAACCCATACTCTAAGATTAATAATCATCCATCGTCGTACCTACCCCTAATCCCTGACTAGGGATACCACCAAAACATGCAGAAAGAATACTCAAAACATAGATCATGAATTTCAACCAATCCTAAATCCAGAAGTTATGCCCAAGAACCTCGAGTACGCACTTGACTTCCTGACAAGTCATTGCGAACCTATTGCTCCCACGAACATGATGATGGTCCATCCAAGAATCTCACATTTCATCCAAATCCCTTATCAGCTCATGTGTGCACCACCTGACAAATCACTCAGTATATCTACAACGAACTTTATGACTTGAGAATTCAGAACCAATACCCAACATTAGTAACCAACCCCTAATAAACCATTCTCAAGATAACGGGGTCCATAGTGGAAAACATGCATCAAGCAACTTCCGATGCATAGCTAATACTCCTAAATCCTAATAAACTTTTTACTGTCCACAAAATCCAAACCAGCTGGTCAGTAAGTCACCCGACTCCCAATCAATGCACTAACACTCGAACATGCCAATAAGACTAACGATCCTAGACCTAAGAATCTCAATCATTTGACTACCGGGTCCTTCCCATATGAGTCATACAATCACTAGTCCATGATACATTGTGGCACCATCTAGCCACTAGAACGATAAGCTCATGGTACTACGCCGATCTTGCCGCTATTCCATCATTGTCTTAAAGAATGACGACCAACACCACATGGGCCTAAAATACTCAACCATCAATCCACCGACTTGCAGGAACCCAATCAACATCCCTCTCAATGCTAACCAAACACAACACATGCCATACCCTTTTATCACACATAGTTCCTTTCATAGTAAAGGTTGTTACCAATGCAAAATCAGATGAAAACATGATCACACACAACCAGAGAATGAGATAGTCGGGTGCACTCTTGTTCCAATTCGAGAGCGATAAACCCAATAAGAACCATGCCAATAACCTGAGCCAAGTGTTCTCATGCTATCATACTCGGTCCACATACATTTCTCATCGGAAGCACATAAATAACCTTAGGTCTAATGCATTCCTTCTTCCCCACAACCTTACCCGCAAGTTGTGGTACCAATAGGTCTAACCGAAATGACGAACCTTAGCCGCTAACATAAAAATCCTCATGAACGACCGATACAAGATCCTACACCTTGATTGAAACTAAACAAATCTTACCAATACGTAACTCAGCTCGATAAAACTTCCCAAATTATTTAGAAATGTTGTCAAAACCCCGGTCGGGTCAATCCAAATACCAACCCTGCCGACGCGACATGTCAAAATTGTACTTTGCGCAGATCCAAAGCCACACCTGAAAAATTAAACAACGCTGACCCAACATCCAAACTT